AAAGTGCTTTTACACTACGTGCCACATTCACCCTTTCACACACATTCACTCAGCGATGCACGGCATCTGGAGCAATTCGGGGTTCAGTATCTTGCTCAAGGATACTTCGGCGGGGATCGAACCAACAACCTTCTGATTAGTGGACGACCCGCTCTGCCTCTGAGCCACAGCCACCCAAATGTATTTCCTCACAAATATCCTTCTCTCTTGAAGAATGTGTAAAGGCATTTTATTCTAACTACTACTGCTGCGGCTGCTCATTACACATTTCGCAACCCTGAAGGTAAGTAAGGTAAGCAAAAAAGTAAAATAATTGCGAGTGGATTGTGTTAATGCTGACAAAATGTGTGTTTGGCCTCAGGTTTCCTCCGGTGGCTACACCTCCATCAATAATGTACGTGACCCAGACTACCCAAGCCCCCGAGACAAGATGGAGAGCTTCTTCCTGGGAGAGACCCTGAAATATCTGTACCTGCTCTTCTCAGACGACCCAAACCTCATCAGCCTAGACCAGTATGTCTTCAACACTGAAGCTCATCCTCTGCCTATATGGCCTTCCACTGCATGACACACACAAGAATTCAAATGGCAGGTAAAACTGCATGAACACACAACAAACATCTCAGGGTTGGTCTAATACCAAGATAATTCCTTTGTCTGCTGTCTCAGTAACTGAATGTTAATCCTGAGCACAGATGGAAAAATCCTCCTTTTTACTGATTGAATCAACTGTTTGCTGTGTGCTAATAGCCATGGGAAAATGACGCCTTGTTTATTTATTGGACTGTTTCCATCGTGTGGACTTGGTACCACCACTGTGGTAGTGGTACAGTTGATGCTGGAGAAGCAGAGGAAGGTTTCTGTCATCCGCGTTAAAGAAAAACCTGATTGTAACTTGAATCAAAGATGTCTTAATCACATGTTATGGGAATGAGGAGGAGTTGGGCTGATACAGGTGTTTGGAAGCTGCTTGTAGCTTATTTTGGTTACAGTTGTGCTCATTGTATTTCTTATCATCTTATGTCATACAAAGAAGATTCCCTAAAAAACTCCCTTTCAAGTTTCATCCCTGCATTGTATTGTTATTAGAGTAAAACAGCATTTAACCCATTATGAAACAAAGCCTGTCTGTCCTGGTGGCCTGACCCTGGGAGTGACAGCTGGCTGCTAGGCTTTTTGTAGCAAAGTGTTGACAGCTGTCTGAACTGAACCCAACTCCTGCCTACTGCGCCTACAACCTGAGCGCTCTGCACAGGGGTGTGACTCTTGCAGGGACACAAGGAAAGCTAATTCCTAACCACACTGTGTAATATAGTGGAAGTGCTCTAGCTAGATCTATTCTCAGATGGCGCCTCTCCTCTGCTTGAAACCAGGAAATAAAGCTTTTGCAATTGTTTACCTTCCTGATGGGGCAAGAGCCCTCGGCCCATATATTTGCTGTCCCATGCAGCATTCATGTCATACTGGACATGTGAAACAAGGCAGTAGGAGCACTACTGCTGTTGTCCACAGGGGCCGCTAGCATCAACACAAAATGACTTTGAGTTGGCTTTCAGTAAAAGTAATAGGCATTATCTGTATAGATAGACCGATGATGATAGTGAAAGTACTCATGGCTCCATATGAAGGAGCGTACCGTACTGAATGGATTTTTTGCAAACTGGTAACCAAAAGTTGTCCCAGTGGCCTATGATTGTCTTCGTAAAATATGCCTGATACCACATACCTTTAAGCAGGGATAGACCGATTTATCAAATTTGATATTAAGCACTTTTTCAAGTATCAGTATGGTTTAGTTATGTGATTGCAGATAAATTAATTAACGTTCTACTTTGGCTGAAGAACTTGTACTTTACTTGAGTATTTCCATTTTATGCCAAAGTCGCACTTGCCTACTTCCATACCACCGCTGGTTATTCTAAATTATGCCATGGTAATTTACATTTTTACTGCAAATGTAGTATTAGTTAAAAGTATCTTTGATTATTAATCTGTATTGGCTCTGAAAAAAAACCTATTAATTAATCCCTACTTTTAAGTAATTTATGTGGTTTGTGGAACTGGCGCTCCTTTCAGCCTGTTTATTCCCATATGACATGAATGCAGCATTAAACTGTCATCCTGGAGGCTTTTTTGCACACCTGTACTACAAGATGTCAGCGGTAGGCAAAATCCCATTACATTAGAATCAATGTGCTGATGTGACCGCACAGCGAGATAGGTGAAAATATTATCTATGACAAGATCAACCCTTGCGTGAGAAAAATAGAGAATGTGGCGGCCTTTCTTGTACACCTCAGGGTCAAAGTGTCAAACCAATGAACACATCACACCTGTTTTAGCCTTTGCGACTGCTCTAGCCTTTTCTGGAAATAATATTACAGGACTGAATTGTTTATGCTTTCTGTATTTGGACATGTTTTGTGCACAAGTTCTTAATGTGTACTGGAAACATTCATATCTTGGACCTGCAAAAAATTAGCCTCCCTTTGTCGTTTGCTCACACTCTCCAGGATTGCTTTGATCAGCCTATACTTTAGGAATGAAGCCAGTCATTTTCCCTGTAGTCTGATGAATTGCAGCTGTTTATATAATTTCCACTGCTCCATATACATGATGAGGCAACTTTCCTCCCTTACTAATTGTTGCCATAAAGCACACTTCTGTCAAATACCCTCATTACTGCATTAGTGTGTATACATACATACTGATCCAAGTGGAATCCTCTGTCTGAGGAGGCCATCAGTAGCTCCCCAGCAGATGGAAGCTGTCATCGCTCTCTCTCTCTCTCTCTCTCTGTCACTTCCTCCATCTTTTCCCTTCGTATTCACACTACCTCTCCCACACTCACTGTTTTGCATGTTGTCTTCCTCTGTTGCGTGCTTGTGTATGTACTCACACATGCTTGTTTCTGTTGGTTCATACAAGCAACGTAAGTGTGATACAGGCTTGTCTTGCCTCAGAGACAGAGTCACAGGTTGTCATGCATGTCTAAGACTGCGGGTGGCTTCAGCTCACATGGACCTAAACGCAGCATACTAAACATCTGTTGTGTAAGCCATTAACACCCCGCCACGAGACTGCGAATTAAAAGGAAGGGGGATTTGAGTATTGCTGTGTATGTGCTAAGCTGGATTGAGTCATTCTGAGCATCAGTTGTGGGTACAGTTTAAGCGTGCAGGGTGAATTGGATGCTGCAGAGGGGGTTTATGGCTGTGGTCTTGCTGGAATTATAGTGACTTTGCATCCAGTACAGAGGTTGTCATGAAATTATCCTTCCTGCCTTTCGTTTAAAAAACAATTTTTCTTATAGGAAACATGCATGTTGCAGCTGCCTGAGGCTTTAATCTGATCTGAAATATTAAGTACAAAACTCATAAAACTTCATACAACTGTCTGTTTAGCAGCAAACATTAACATCAATGTAATGTACATTAAGCTAAAATGTTGTCATCTATGTTAATCCATTGTCAGGTAATAATATATTTTTTATATATATATATTATATATTTTTTGCAAACCATGAAGAAAACTGTTTGGCTACTAGTCGATTATGTTGTCTGTCTGTGTTTGTGTTTCCTGTGGCTGAAAAGGAGATTTATGACACTGGAGTCTGGGGGTCTTCAAATCAAAACAATGAGCAAAAAGAGGCTAAAAAGCTCTGCAGAACTGAGTCAGGTGATAATAATTTGGGTGTGTCACTATGATTGACGCCTATCACATTACACATAGTCATTTAATTCATTGTTAATATAAAGATATTGATCAGTGCAGCTTTAGGGATCATTTTAATATAGCAATAATTACAATGCTTTTATTACTATGTTTAATTTAAATCTAACATTGCCAGGTCTATTTAATAAAAACTGGTAAACAAAATTTTAATATAGCCAGGTCTGTGACAAAGTGAAAAAAGAAGAAAAACTGCAGGGGGCTACAGTAAGTCGCATTCTCTTGCAGACTACCAAACAAATAATAAATACGACATCCTAAAAAGCAACAGTGTTTCCCATTTTGCGTAGACATACCATAACACACAAACATCCATAATTAACAGATAAAAGATATCTAAATGTTTAAAATGTAATTACACTCACATAGCAGTGCTAATTTCTCCAGTTAGAGCTGCTGCAGCTTTTATATACTGTGTAATGTTATTATGATGTAAACATATACAGCTTTGGTCAAAGTCACCATATTAATTTGACTAAAATATGAGTGGATGTTTTAATTCAAAGCAAAGACTTCGACTAAAAATTATATCTGTTGCATGTTCAACACCATCAATTGATCCTGGGTAAAGTTTTACAGATATATTAGGTTTTTAAATTCTTCGATATTACTGTAGATTTTTTTTTTTACCAAGAAAAAATGGGAATAAGCAGGGAGCTTTTCAAATTTCATGCTAGATTAACGCAGTCTACTGTTACATCACTGGGTTAATTGAGCATATTCAGAATATAAAATTTTATTGTAATTGAGTTAATTCTTATCAAGTGACTACAACGGGTCTGTCCATATGCTTCCATTATAAAAATCACTTAATCCAGTGTTTTGGCAGCTTTTCAGTTTTGCCTGTGCTTGGTTACACAGGAGCTATTTACACTGTTTGTGTATGCAAAGATTCATTTAACCAGCCATTAATACATGCTTTAGTACAATGCTCTCTGTACACTGATCTGTTCTTTAAAGGAGAAATCCACATCTTCTCATGGACAAGTTAGTCTGTATTTTATGAACAATTAACTTTTTGTCAAAGCAAGACAGCCCATTTATTTTGTTTTATATATATATATATATATATATATATATATATATATACACATATACACATATACATACATACATACACACACAC